TCGGAAGAAGGAAGATGATGGAGAACCAGATACCAAGAAGGCGAGAGTGGAAGCTAAGAAAAGCGAAGAGAACAAGGAGAGAAGACGTCATGGTACTTATTTTTCATTGGTATCTGCATGCAATGTCCCAGTCGATGCTTCTCTTCGGAACCAAAAGTCCCTTTAAATTTTGCGAAAAATCCCAGAATGCTTATTCTCTGCGAATTCATCAGTTCTAGGAACCCTTGTTATGAGCCCTTGTGCTCATTAAAAGTGAAAATCGTCTGAAAATTCTGCTCCATTTCCTGAATTTTTGATCCCTTTCCCACTTTCGCCACTTGCACATTTCCAAATTGACCTGATCTCCTCCCACCGGGAGGCTCCCAGTATCCTGATCCTTCCCAAAACATAACAAAACCCATTTCTCAGGCTCCTCACCATCTAAAACTCAATCACGTCGTCGTGAGGATAAGAAGGATGCTCCATCGTCGTCATCGGATCGTGAAAAGGATCGTCGTCGCAGCCGATCGCCAGCAGCTCGTCCACGGGATTCGGATCGAAAGGACTCATCGTCGAAAAGGAGCGAACGATCGGAGAGCAACAGAACAGGAGGAGCAGGTACAGATATTAAGCGAATACCATCGCTACTCACGATGCGGATAGCCGCGCCACCTGGGACTAAGAAAATGGAGAATTTTTATCATAGTAGTACGAGTACCTCATCATTCTTATCTTCTTCCTCTGAAGGCCTAGGAGAGCCGACGTTTTCTAGCAGATGGTGTCAGTGCTCTTGTGCACATCACATGCCTTCGACCTCGTCAGCTGGATCCCTAGATGCGTCCCCTTCCTCCTCGTCTTCTTCATCGAATTCAGATGCATTGGTCTCCCGAATTCCGTCATTGATGTCATTGCGGACCCCGTTTAATAACAGCTGCCTCTTTTTAGCACCGCCACAACCGACACCACCGAGAAGAAGTAACGATCCTGCCGCTCGGATCAGAGCCCCATCACCATTGCGTAGATCGTTTGGAGGAGGACCACAACGAATGGAGGATCATCGTGGAGGACGTGGAGATCAGATGCAACGTCGCAGATCGCCGGATCGAATTAGACGTGATGACAGAAGACCAAACGATTTTGGAGATCGTAAACGAGTGGAAAGAGGATCGTTTGACACTGGAAGGGTGAGTTCTTCATTTGTTCAACATCTTCAATCTAATCTTTTTTTCAGAATCGTTCTCCACTTCGTCGTCGTCCATCATCACCGCCACGGGGCAGACCAGGAGAGAAAGTCGTTGCATCTTACCGCAATGGAGTCTAAACCTCTCACAATTTTTAATATATTTATGAATATTACCGCTTTCTTTTTAATTTCTGTAATTTTTCATATAAAGTCTGTTTTTGTTTTGTCTGTGTAAGCACGTGCATGTGCACTAAGAACCTGATGTTTTAATATAACTGGCTTTCTTTGTTTCAGTAAATAAAAAGATTTCTTGGGATGGAATGTGAATTCGTAGAGTCCAAAAGGAGTTTATGATCTCTGAGGTTGTACTTTTTTGTTAGCAGTTTTTCGGGAAAGAACGGATTAAAATAAATTTAATCCGACGGGTAAACAGAGAGGCCACCAGCTAGTCGGTCCAATTCGAAAGAAACTCAGTTAATCGATTTTAGGGTTTTTTGGTACAAAAAATCCAAAGGTCTCACAACCACAACTACAGTAACCTGAAAATACTATCATTATAAAAAAAATTTGAAAAATAAAAATATTCTTAAGTTACTGTAGTTGTTGTTGTGGGACCTTCGGCCACGGCCCCCGGCGTTTCTGTTTCAAAGCTCCGATTTCTCCGATGTTTCACCAATATGAACAAGTTTAAAAAGTTCTAGTGCAATCAAAATTCAAATTTCCTCTCTTTTCTAGTCTGCCGCTATTGCCACCTGTATCATATGCAATAATCCTCTTTTGTAGCGAAATGGCTGAAATCAACGAGCGCGCATCGACGTCATCGCCTCCAGTCCCTTCTACACCTGCTCCCGTACCACATATCAGACAGTTAGCTGACAACATGACTGATAAAGTTGGAAAATTCTTCGAGCATCAGATTGAGGGTAAGCTTTGAAAACTGAAAAAAATAGAGGGATTTCTGGTCAGAAATAGGTCGGAAAGTCTGAAAAACTCCAAGTTTCTGGTTCTCGGTCTCAAGATTATCTCCCCCGAGAATTTCATTTTGGTATTTGTTTTCGGTTTTTGTCGGTTTTTGTTGTGTTCGTCTTTTTAGAAGGGGTGTGCGTGTCAAAATGGAAAATTTTTAGGCGAACATGGACCAGAACTCTGGTCTGGCCAAAAGAAAATCTCTTACATTTCACTCTCTTTCAGGATCTATCGAAGAATACAAATTGCTGGAGAACATGAACAACACTACTGCTCAACGCTACGTGGATATGAAGGTGGTTGCTGAGAAGTTGGCTGGAAAATTGGACAATTTGAATACCAAGTGTGAGTTCTTAGAATTATTTAATCTATTTTCTGGAATAAATTTTATCGAGTATGAGTTCTGGATCCTTCGGTCCGGTATACGGACTCAGATGATTAGAAATTTTTTATACATTAAAATGTGCAAAAGAAAAAAAAATTAAAAAAAAACATTCGTTCATAGAGAAAACTGCATCAAGAATCGTTTTTTTTTTTAGATTTTCATTGTTTTTTTCAGATTTTTTTCAGCTTTCCAAAGTTTCTGTTAATATATCTCGAAAAACTTTTGAAAACCGGAAGAAGCGAAAAACGGAAAATTCCGGAAAATTACCGTTTTTTGTCGACATTTTTGTGCAAAATTTTTAGACCTTTTTTAGGTTTTTCAGCTATTTCAAAAGATTCTTTTTCGATTTTTCCGATTTTAATGTCTGAAATTTG